AAGTGCTTTTGTAGCAGAAGAAATGACCTAGCCTGGGAGAGGCTAGAGCGCACTTAGCATAGGTCCTTAGATTTTCAGGGGAGACGACATTTGCCACTTTGGAATGAAGCTCTGGGGTGTCAGACTTAGCACCGATTTTTCCAAACTACAAACGGTATTCCAGCTACAGTGAGAAGTCAGCATTACTGTATTTTATTACCTGTGCTAGGAGCATAAAAATGGATTTCAATGTTCTCCCTTGATCATTGTATTATAATTTAAAGCGGCACAAAATCCTCTTTACAAATCATTTTATAACTGCCTGTAGTGACTACAGTGTGAACTCCTTAGGAACATAAAATACATATTCAGAATATGTTTTCTTCCTAGCATATTATTCATTACTAAATAATAAGGAATACCATGTTAGGTTTCATGGAATGATCAGGCCATTATTTGTCCACCTTCCCATCTCATCTGCCACCCTCCTGCCATCAGAAAGACAGCAGCTTTTTAAGTGATGGCACTGAGCAGTAGGGAAGAGAGAATGTAGGTTTGGGACTCCCCAAAAGAGGGACTACATCTGATCTATCATATGGTGTTTAATGCTGGTTTTCATGCCTTACATATAGATTCAAACTATCAACAATCACCAAGGGCTTTAATCCCAAGTCCATCTGATTCCCAGACTCGTGGGCAGTAAGGAAAAGAAAGCAGTTACATCCATTGATATTTCAACCAACTTCTTCATCCAACCTAATGTATTCTTCAGCAGAGTAATTTGTAAACATTCTGCAAACCATCTGACTAAATCCCTGAAACAGAGTTGGAACTCAAATTCTTTTTAGGAATATGGTATGTTGCTTTAGTGATCAACCCATAACTATGTTCAAATTAATTTAGATACAAGATGTTAATTTCAATTTACTACAGAGGCACACATGCACATTCGCACATTTGCATTCACTGTACACATAATACCATCTCATCTCACCTAACTGTGTAGGGCACTCACACAAACTTTCTACTCTAGATAGGAAACACATGGCTTCCAGGTCAGAGGTTAAAACCAGGGGCCCAGGCTGAGGTGCAGTCCTTGGGCTGAATGTAATCCATAAATATATTCTGATTGTTGTGTACAATGTTTAAAAATTTTGGAATTTTCACTTTAAAAAATCCAGATTTTTCTTCAGAAAATCTGACAAACTGGCCCTTCATTTCTACAAAACAACAGGGACTGAAGGTGAATAGTAACAGGCCTCATAGATAAAGGGTGAACTTTCCACCTCACCCTAGTTTTCAACACTCCCTATCAACAATCTTAGAACTGCCTGCTTCGTTTATGTTCAACATCTATTTTGCCCTGGCATGCATTTGAGGTTGAAGCCCCTGTTCTAGGTACATTATACTTCCCCAAATGCTATGAGTTAAATTGTGGCCCCCAAATTCATATGTGAAAGTCCTAGTCCCCCGTACCTCAGAATGTGACCTTGTTTGGAGAGAGGATCTTTACAGAAGTAATCAAGTTAAAACAAGTCATTACGGTGGCCCTGATCCAATCTGACTGGTGTCCTATAAGAGTGGGTCACACACGGAGGGAGAAGTAAGATGAAGACAGAGACTGGAGTGTTGCATCGACAAGCCAAGGGACACCAATAATGACCAGCAAGTCACCAGCAGCAGGAGAGAGGCTGGGACAGATTCTCCCTCAGACTCAGAAGGAACCAGCCCTGACAACACCTCGATCTCAGACTTCCAGCCTGCAGAGCTACGAGAAAATACATTTTTGTTTTGTAAACCATTCAGTCTGTGGTAGTCTGTTAGGCCTGCCCTAGAAAACGAAGTAGCTCCAAGTAGCTCAAATTAAGTATCTTCAATCACTGGCTATGTCTCATCTAGAAAAAGGACATGACAAGGAGAAACATTCTTTCCAAAACCTGGAAAGGTGCTGACAAACTTCTGGTGAGTCATGACTGCCAAAAGATGGTAACAGGTCACCCCCGAGTGGGTGGGTGATACCAACAGTGAAGAAACATTTTAGGGGAACAAGTGTGTCAGGGAGGCAGAGTGTCTGGATCCTCATTTACTCCTGAGCTTGATTTAGATGACATATTCCTACACATCTACTTCAAGACACCTTCTGCTTTCCTTTTCTTCCCATGCCTTTTCTCCCTCTGTCTGATCTAAACATTACAGAGGGTACTGGAGGGGGCTGAGGGAGAGGAGCACAGCTGGAGAGGAGCCGGGTCTGAACAGCTGGCTACTCCCCAACAGGAGGCCTGAGAGCACTGGTTGTGGAGTAACCATAAGCCAGTAATGATTCAGAGTCTTGGTTCCTTTCTTTTAAAATAAGTAGTCCTGCCTGGCTGGGTAGAGGTAGCTTAGTTGGTTAGAGCCATCTCAATAAGCCAAGGTTGTGGGTTTGATCCCTGGTCAGGGCACATACAAGAAGCAACCAATGAATGCATGAATAAGTGGAACAACATATCAATGTCTGCCTGCCTGTCTGTCTCTCTCCCTCCCTTCCTCTCTCTCTCTCTCTTAAACATCAATCAATCAATCAATCAATCAATCAAAATTTAAAATAAGTAGTCCTGGTGACTTACAGAGAGATTCAGCTTCTGTGATGTTTCAGAAACAAAAGCATTACTTCTTCATGCATCACACTTCCCCCTAGTACCTGAAACCCCATTCCCAGTGGTCCCGAGCTCCATCCTCTGGGGGATTTTGCTTCTTCAACCAATCAGTGTCCCAAGCTGGGAAGTGGCGAAGGGCCAGACCTCTGCCCTAGCTGATCAAGGGGTCACCCTGACAGGTCGCCCTGTCAACTTTGAGAAGCATGGCTCCATGTCTAATTTTTTCGTTTTTAATCCTCACCCGAGGATATTTTTCCATTGATTTTTAGAGAGAGTGGAAAAGAGAGGGAAAGACAGAGAGAAATATTGATGAGCGAAACACATCGATTGGTTGCCTCCTGCACTCGCTCCAACCAGGGTTTGGGCTGGGGAGGAGCCCGCAACCGAGGCATGTGCCCTTGACCGAAACTGAACCCGGGACCTTTCAGTCTGCAGGCAGATGCTCTATCAACTGAGCCAAACCGACTAGGGCTCCAGGTCTAATTTTTAAATGATGACATTTTTAGGGGTGGTGGTTTCAAATAAATAAAATGGAGTCATGTGGATTAAATATGACTTTGGGGGGAATAAAAGGCACTGCAGCAAAGCTGGGGAAATGAGACCAGAGAGCACATAAAGGATGTCCACACTCAAGTGGTGGAACTGAACTCTGAGAAGTGGGGCTGAGATCAAGGATACGCTCCTTCTCTTTTTCCGGCACTCCTCATCCCCCCACAAAACAGCCCTATTTTTATTAGGTATAAAACTGAAAGGTTGGTCAGGAATCAGCCAAGCACTGTATCCACCCACCCCACCCACCTTCAGAGAGAAACCTGGCATCTGCAGCCGAGGAGAGGAGACTTGGGACACCAGACCATTGTCTCCAGTTCCCTAATATATGCATGTTAAGGGGCCTGAAGCATTGAGTAGCTTCAGAAAAGAGAAGAAGACCCATGGGTGGGAGTTGCATGGATAGAGAGTTCAGGTCAGCAGAAGGTAGAATGTTTAACAATCAGGCTCTGCAACAATGGCACTGGCCCTCCAGAGGGCTGGGAGTAACTATCACCGAGGAATTAAGAGAGATTGGGATGCCAGCTGTGGATGTGCACCGTGTTCACTGACCAATGAGGAAGGCGGGGGTGTGGGGGAGTAGGTGGGTAGATATTTTTCATCCCATGATTCTAAAGACTGCAGAATTCAAGGACAAATCATCCATCAGTGTTAACTATTTTATACAGCTCTGTAAGATTGAAACAACATCCTCCAGGAGGAAACCAAGTTAATTATGGGAAACTGTCCTTGAGTAAGAAAATAAATCAGGTGGAGGGAAGAACCCCAGCAGCCCCGGTGGATGGCATCTGTGCCCACGTAACCTTTTTGGGTACCAGCTGCCTCAGTTGTCCTGGTGAAGGTGATAATGAAAGCTACCGATGGGCTTGTGGGGAGAAGAAAATGACATAACAGATAACTGAATGTTTACTATGGGCCAGGGACTATTTTAAATGCTTTGCTTATATTGCTTAATTCTTACAACTGCACATTTTACAAATACAGAAACACAGGCAGAGAGAATAGGAGAGTTACTCAAGGCTGCACAGCTAGGAAGAGGGAGAGGAGGATGAAATCCAAGGGATGTCTACACGTTGCACCCAAACACTTAGCACAGTGCCTGGGACAAGGTGGGGCTCGCGATGACTATTATTACAGAGGCAACACAATATGGTCGCGAGAGGGAGCATTCTGCAGCCAGTCTATGTGACATCATACAGGAAACTCAAGTTCTCTATACCTGGTGTTCTTATCTGTAAAGTGGGCACAAAATGTCCATTCCATAGGGAGCCTCAAAGATTAAGTGATTTAATGCATGTTAAATGTTTAGAAGAATACCTGGCAAATAATCAGTGCTCCACAACACAAGCTAATACCATATAAACATGCTCTAGATTACAAATACATCCAGGTGTTTAGTATGTTAATATAACCCACTCTATGTTCATGTCTGTAATGTACACAAAGGGCAATCACCCAAAAGTCACAGCTTAGTGACGAGGCATCCGTAGCAGCCACTGATATCTTCTGGTTGCACAGTATAAGAGAAAGTGCATTTATTAGATTGCTTTGTGCTTAACCAAACACCAATGTTACACAGGCCCTCAATTCCACTTGATGGTGGCGATTTTTTTACAGGAGGTTCTTGTCTGGGAACCCTGCCTCTCAGGTTCTCCCTGAATCTCAAGTGAAATTTCCCAGATTTGAATGAGTGGAGGGGAAGGGACTGAGAAGAAATGGAATGTTTTCCATGGACTCTCTGCTATCAGCTCTCCAAGAGACACCTGGGACTGGTTTGGGGATGGAGACTGACCTCTTCTACCCCAATCTGCAGAGCTGGTGGTCCTGCTGTCCTACCTGGTGAGCTTGGTGCCGATCTGCTGCCTCAGCTCCAGCCTCTCTTCATCCGTCTGCCTGGGAAGGATGTTCTTTTCTTCTAGCTCTCGCTTGGAGGGCCTGTTGCTGAGTTTGATGGCTAAGGAGTCCTTCCGGCACACCTTCATGGCCAGGGAGCCTGCAGGAGGGGAAACGAGTTAAAAACGCTGACACACACCTGCCCGGGCTCCCACAGGAACAACTGTGGGTCACAAGGTGAAAGGCAGGAAGATAGTGGCTTCACACCTGAGAGTGGGTAAGGCCCCAAAGGACCCTTCCATAGAGTTCCTGCAAGCAACAAGCTGGGTACACCTCGCAGTGTTGAGCATGTGAGGGGCACAGGAGCCTGTGATTGGATCTTGGCTCTCCAGGGACCGCCAGTATGCAGGCAACACCATAAAGGAGGGACAGACTGGAGAGTAATAGAAGCAAAAGGGGGAGAAAGGACAGGGGCCTTTAGTAACCACGGGGAGCTTCACAGAGCAGGAGGGGCTGGCACCCGCAGGACAAGCGAGATGCGCCCAGGCAGCAGGTTGGTGGATGTCTGCATGTGGGAAAGCTCAGAGGTGACAGATAAACCAGGTCGTCACAGGAGACAAAGGAGATCAGTGACTATGGAGCCAAGTCATGAAGGAAAATAAAGCTGGGCAGACAGTGAGGTCTGTTTGGGGTGGGAGTGGAAGTGAGTTCATTAAAATAGTCAATATTCTGGGATAGTTTTTCTTTCAATGTAAGGAGTTCTGAGCAGCCAGCCAGGGCAGGGCTGCCTTCCATCTGGGATAAATCTATGGTTCTCAACCAGGTGATTTTGTTCCCCAGGGGACACTTGGCAAAGTCTAGAGACACTTTTGATTGTCAAACTGGGTTTTGGGGGAGGCTCTTCTGGTATCCAGTGGGCAGAGGCCAGGGATGCTATTAAATATCCCGCAGTGCACAGGACAACAAAGTCTAATCTGGTCCAAAATGTCACCTGTGCTGAGGCTGAGAAACGCTGCTGTAAAACATTCACTTCTCTGGGCAGGGAACAGTGCCCGGGGCTGAGCAGCTGCTCCTTCCTGCCTGGGTCATTTGGGCCTTTGGCCGCCCCTCGTGCTCCTCTCCTGGACATCACCTTGATCATGGCATTGCCACCAGGACTCCTACCAGCAGCAGGAGGAGAGTGGGAAGCAGCAAGTTTGGGGGATTCCTCTGGATTTTATCTTGTAGGCGAGTCCTCTCCCCTCCTCACTGGTTTTACAACATGGACTTTGGAATGAGACAGTGGTATCAAAGCCTAGCACTGCCCCTGAGTAGATGTGAGGCTCTGGGCAGGTCACTGGCCTCTCCCTTTTCTTCCCCTCTCTGTAAAATGGGGCAGTAGTGTCCACGCTACCGCATGTTGTAAGATGTAGATAACAGAATAAAAATCTTAGCACGTGGCCAGGCACGGTATATATTCAGTGAAAAGTTGCTATAAGTTAATTTATTACAAAGTTAACCAAATATCAGTTTCTAATCACTTAACTAAAATGTATTGATTACTCATGGCCAGAATGACAGATTTTGAACTTTGCTTTCTTCATCTCTTCTCTCTTAGCACATTTGAGGACCTAAGTAAGAAATTTCAATTCAGGCCTTCTCAATTTTGTTGAGGTCTGCTTAAAGTGAATTTGCTGCATACACAATGGTGAGTCTATCTGAGTATTATGCAGATTCAAATTGAATTTCAGGGTTCCTACCCCTTTTTTTGAGGGAGGGGGCTGCATCCTAAGGGAAGTAGTTGAAGCAAGGAAGAGCCATCTAAGAGGTAGCAGGTGCAGCAGGATGTAACTTTTAGAGCTATGGGGATGTTCAGAGGACACTGACCCTTTCATTTTACTAATGAAAACACTGAGGCCCTAAGAGGTTAATCGAGCTGCCCTGTGACCCAGGGCAAGCTGACACCAGACCTCAAGTTAGAACCACAGTGTTGGGCAGCTCGTCAGCGCTCTTTCTATAAAGGCCCCGCCCCATCCCCAATGAAGAGCTGGATGCACGCACTGGTGTACAATGAGCTGTCGTCATCCTCGTCTTCCTCCTCCTCCTCCTCTTCCCTTGTGTAGAGACAGGAAGAGTCTTCGTAGTCTGATTCATGAGGCACATTTTCTTTATTGTCATCACATTCAATCACAACAGTTGGCACTTGTCTTATTTCTGGAAGGCCCAGAGGTCCTGCTTTTGTGATACCGTCACCCGAGTGCAAACTGGAGCTGTGGTAAGAAGTGGGGCAGGGGACCCGCTGCTCAGAGCTGTTCAAAGAGAAGGAGGAAAGAAGACAGTCACTCTGGCTAATGTCTATACACGCATCAGAACCTTCTTAAAACTCAGTGGTCAGTTCCTAAGAGACAAAGGGTCTCCAGGGCAATTGAAGTCTCATTTCTCATCTTATAGTTAAACATTTGAGGGCAGCAGACTTCTCTGATTGTGGCAACAGCATGGGGTAGGAGTAGGAATCCTTATTCCCTGTGGATGAATGGTGGTGACACTGGCATAGCAATGAGAATGTCCCTAATGCCACTGAGCTATACACTTCAAAATGGTTAAAATGTAATTTTTTTTGGTCCTGTGTATCTACAATTAAAAAAATAAAAACATAAAATTGAAAAATAAATTTCATTCCACAAGTGTTTCTGGTTAAGAGCCATACCTCCAAGTGGCAAAGGAAAGTTTCTTTGCCACTGACATGTCTCGTAGGAGGAGTAAAAGGATTAATTTGATGGAGAAGCTAGAGGTCCAGAGAAGAGAGAATGCATGAGGTTCTAGCTTTCAGAGCTCCACAGTGTGACTGGTAGAGGCTGAGTGTGGGACAGAATGTTTGAAACTTCATGCATGGAGAGATTCAGGGAAAGAGAAGAGGTGGGACCACAGGCTGGCAACTCATTCATGAACATCAGGGTGGATGTGGTCAAGGATGACTTAGAGAGAGTTCTCTCCCCTCAACAGCCACAAGTACTATAGTCTTGTTTTCCTTCTTAAATTGAGCCAACTCAAATAAAATGTATTTTTAATGAAAAATTATTTGCTTCATAAATAGAACCCATATAAGCCCATTGTAGGAAAATTAGGAAATGCGTAACATAAAAAAAGTAGTTATTTTTTTTAATAGACTCTATCTTAGGCTCCTAAAGCAATTTAGAATCCTTTTCATGACAGACTCTGAATGAAGCCCAGCAAGAATAATGGGCCAGAAACACACAGCTGAATTTTATAATTCTTCTTCAGATTAATTGGAAGTGGGATTTATATCTTTTATTTAAGGAATTTCTAAAACGTAGAAAATTCAACACAATTACCATCCAAAAGTGTTTGATATTCATAAAATAATGGAGTGTGAGGTTATACTATATATCAATGAATTCACATTAAAATATTTTTATACAAAAGAAAAATCTTACTCATGACATATGAATGCATGATAGGCTCCTTTGAAACTTTCAATTATGCTTTAAATTATTGCTATGTCTAATTTAAATTCAATTAACTTTCTTCCTTCCATTGTTTCCAAAGAGCTGTTTTGCTCTTTATATTTTTCACATAACTCTTCAGTGACACAAATGGAAAATCTAGTTAACACATTATGAGCTATGACATTCAAGGCAATGAATTCAATCAGCTAAAAAAAAGCCCTTCAACTACTAAGATTAAATCAAATATTTAAAAAAATGCAGCATCTTATTAGACACTAGAGGCCCGGTGCACAAAATTTGTGCACTGGGTGGGGGTGGGGGGAGGTCCCTCAACCCAGCCTGCGCCCTCTCGGACATCCTAAGCCAGCAGTCGGACATCCTTAGTGCTGCCGTGAAGGTGGGAGTGGCTCCTGTTATGGCCACTGCGCTTGCCAGCCGTGAGCCTGGCTTCTGGCTGAGCTTCGCTCCCCCTGTGGGAGTACACTGACCACCAGGGGGCATCTTCCTCATTGAGCGCCTGCTCCCTGGTGGTCAGTGCACATCATATGGACTGGTTGTTCCATTGTTTGGTCAATTTGCATATTAACCTTTTATTATATAGGATGAGCAGGTAAAGGGGTCCATTTTCCATCTAGTTCAATACAAATGGTCATGAGCACAGGAAGGTGGAGAACATGGTAGATGGTGTCTGGGTGACAAATATAACAGTTGACTGAAAGGTGACTGACTGGCAGCACTAGTGCCCCACCTCACAAGGTGCCCCTCGTTCAGGCAACCACATGCACTGCATCCCAATTCTGCTTGGGATTCTACATTGGGTATTAGAGGAAGCAGGGTCAGAGGAGGCAGAAATGTAATTCCATGGCTCATGCTTTGCCCCACCTGTCTTCTCCTCTCCCTAAGCTATAAATTAATTAACAATGGCTCCAACAAAGGCACAGAGCTGAGAATATTAGATCTGAGGGATAAAAAGCAGCCCATAGATATTTATGTTTGGTGGGAAAAAGAGTTTGAAACCAGAATGTATGAATTCCTTAAGGCAAAGGGTTCCAAAGTACCTCAAGAGGACCGAGAAAGGAGAAATATTATGCAAAGGAAGACCAAAAAAAAAAGCTGTGATCAACAGGGCACTATGGTTTCTCTTCCCTCAAAGACACGAGGGAGTGTGAGTCTGAGTAGAATGGGATTGGAAGGCTGATCCCCCTCAGTGGTTGGCAAACTGCAGCTTGCGAACCACATGCGGCTCTTTGGCCCCTTGAGTGTGGCTCTTCCTAAGCCTTAGGAGTACCCTAGTTAAGTTAATAACAATGTACCTACCTATATAGTTTAAGTTTAAAAAATTTGGCTCTTAAAAGAAATTTCAATCGTTGTACTGTTGATATTTGGCTCTGTTGACTAATGAGTTTGCTGACCACTGTGTACTTAGGCAGGTACTAGATATCATGTGACCTACTAGTTTTGTGAAATGGGGACCAGCCATGGCGATCAGTGACTGCCTGTGGGGGTGCTATAGACCCAGCTGGGACCTCACATGGCCAATAAGGTCATCTTTCTGAGGTGTGACTCTAGCACATGATAGAATGTCTACTTTCTGGCCAGCATGGCTCAGTGGCTGAGTGTTGACCTATGAACCAGGAGGTCAAGGTTCGATTCCTTGTCAGGGCATGTGCCAGGTTGCAGGCTGGTCCCCAGTGGGGGTTGTGCAGAGGCAGCCGATCAATGATTCTCTCTCATCTTTGATGTTTTTTATCTCTCTCTCCCTCTCCCTTCATCTCTAGAAAAAAAAAGGAATAAAGAAAAAAGAATGTCTACTTTACCATAAGGGTGAAAAGCTGTTTTCTAGGAAGCTAGGTGAATCTACCACAAGGGTTTTTAAATATCCTATCTAATAATAGACAAACAAGGTAATTGACCATACCTTCGCTATGCCTCCCATTGGCTAATCAGTGTGATATGCAAATTAACCACCAACAAAGATGGCGGCTAATTTGCATATGTAGGCTCCAAGTGGTGGAGTGAAGCCTGGCGACGATGCAGGCGTTCTGCCCCAACCTGTTGGTGGAGGGCCTCTGGGCAGAGACACAGCCCACAGGGGGGCCGGCACCCAGCAGCCTCAAGCCCTGCCTCGGCGCTGGGATCAGAGGAGCAGAACACATCCTGCAGGGGGGGGCAGCACTCAGCAGCCCCAAGCCCCATGGCCGAGGAGGCTCTGGGCCGCTGGGGCCACTGGGGCTGCTGGGGACGCTGAGGCCAGAGGAGCAGAGACACAAGCCCGCAGGGGGCCCGGCACCCAGCAGCCCCAAGCCCCACGGGGGCGCTGGGGCTGGAAGAGCAGAGACACAGCCCGTAGGGGGGCCTGGCCCCCAGCAACCCCTAGCCCCAAGGCCGCAGAGGCGCTGGGGCCACTGGGGCTGCAGCAGAGACACAAACCGGCAGGAAACCTGTGGAAAGGGAGATAAACTATCATAACTTTATCTCCCTTTCCACAAGATGAGAAAACTGACCCTGATTTATTTAGTGATATGGCTCACACCTTTCTACAAGCACAGGGTATGTTATGACCACTCCCAGGAAGGTCTGGTCAGAATACTGTCTCCAGGGAATAATGCTACTGTGGCAAATCATCTAAGAGAGGAAACAAGCTTTTGTTGGGTTTATTCTGAAGGTCAGAGAACATGCCACCCCAACATATGCCGTGTTGTTATACTGATGATCTTGACCTGCAGATGCTTGAAAAACAGCAAATGCAAGGAGAGGTTTTCACTGAAGTCTCCTGCTCTGCCTAAAATCAGACCCCCCAAAAGGTTCCCTTGATGGGAAAAGTGCCATCAGCCAGTGAAGACTGACTCCTGTCACAGGACAGGAGACTAGAAGTTGACATCACACCCTAACTTTGTTACAAACTATCTCCCCCACCCCCATTCATTTTTCCTAAAAATCATGTACTCTCCTCTAAGAGGCCTACATCTCTCGTCCCCTTTTCCTAGGAAGAAGGTATTTAAATCTGGATTCTAAGCCACCTTGGGGAGTTATTCATTTTTCCTGGGATCTCCCACATATACACGAGGTACACATGTTAATGAACTTTAGTTTTTCTCTTGGTAATCTGTCTTTCATTACAAGGGCCTCCCCTAAGAACTCAGAAGGGTAGAGGAAAACTATTTTTCCTCCTCCATAATTCTATCTCGGGAAATCAAGTCCCAGGCTGAACAGTGAGTTTGGCTCAAGTGCCAAGCAGTCCCGGCTGAGGGGAGGGAAGCTTCTAGGGGGAAATCAATGATACTGGCATCAAAGTAGAACAGAGGGCACATGCATGGTTGCTGGTGGGAGTTTAAAGTGGTTCAACATTTTTGGAGGATGATTTGGCAAAATCGATAGAAATGTTCAAGGTACATCCAAGAGTCTTCTAGGAATCTCATCTGCTGAGATAAAGCTCGAGTGCATAAGCCCTGGTCAGAACCCAGGATGCTACTGCAGGTTCCCCTTCCACGATAGGAAAACCTGCTAACAACCTGCATTTTTAGGCAAGGTGGCATCTATACTTATAAAAAGGTAATATGCTAATTAGACTGAACATCTTCCAGATGACCTTCTGGACGTCCTTCCAGACAAAGCCATGGTAGCAGGGCTGAGGCAGAGGCAGTTAGAGGTGATCAGACAGGCAGGGCAGAGCAGTTAAGGGTATCAGACCATCAGGGGAGAGCAGTTAGAAGGATCAGGCCAGCAGGGGAGAGCAGTTAGGGGGATCAGGCCAGCAGGCAGGTGAGCAGTTAGGTGCCAGCAGCCCAGAGGGGTCCTGGATTGGAGAGGATGCAGGCCAGGCTGAGGGACCCCCTGCTCCC